AACACACCAGGAAAATTTAAAAGCAACAACTGTGGCAGAATTTGCAGATCTAATTCTGTACTCCAGAATACCAAGATGAAATCTTGCAATTAAAGTTTTGAGAATATGCAACTATTACTAATGATAATTTAGGTATTATATTCAGTGTCTTGAGGATTCCCCCATATATCTTTTTAGCATCTCTTAGTGGATCAGATCTTGTTGGTTTTATTTTACTCAGCAAAATTCTTGCTCGTTAATAGCAGACTAAAATTCATGTTCAGTTTGGCAGTTTGTTAAACCCATGAAGAGCTTGCACAGCTTATTGCATGGACCTAATTAAAAACTATGAAAAAATACACATTTAGAACCAAGATTCCAAATTACAATTAGATGTGATGGCTCTTTTATCTTTCTCACCATGCAACAAAATTTCAAATGTTTGGAGCGATTTGCTATGTTTAATTGTAATTAGAGTACATATTTTTAGAAGAAAATGTAATATTTGAGTTGATAGAGTTTTGTCCTTTTAAACGGACAAGTATAGACTCACACCCACCGCCACATACACTGGTGTGACTGCTGGAGCCCATCAAGTGAGTGGCCTGATTTTAGATCCCCACTGACAATCATAAACGTCTTGGATGCTGCATAATTCTGTCACTTCACTTTGGTGCTCTAGGGGCAGCTGTAATCTTCTGAATAAAATTGCTCTGATCTAACATGATCTGAACATGATCTAAAACGTCTGCTGTTTAGCTAAGATGCTTTGGTTACACAGAACTGCCTTCTCCTCAAGCTCTGTTAATCCATTAAAATGTTACCAGAGATCTCCACTGATCTCCCTTTGTCCTGCAAAAACATTTCCAAAATATCCCCTGCTAGATTTTGGCTTTGACAGATAGGTGTTGGTATGTTTTCATTTATCCTGAATCATTCAATGTCTCTATCAAGTGCAAACCAAGGATCCTTAAGCCAGACTCTTGCCATGCACATGTAAAGAAGCATTTTGGAGATCAAAGGAGAAAATCTGGCTGGTCTGAAGGGTGATATCACTGCTAACCGTGCTTTATTTTCTGCCTAATTAGACTGAGGAGAAGAAAGCTTTATACAATATACAATGTAAACACAACAGAAGGCTTGAGTCTGACAGGCTCTCATGGACATGAGACACGCATACCTGGATCCTGACAAGGATATTTTGTGACCAAATGCAATAACACAGCTTTGAAAAGCACACGCTTCAGAATGATGGATGCTTTAGAGCTGTGCTCCTTCAAGTTTTGATTTAGAAGGCTGGAGGCTTCAATCTGAGTCACGAATATTCAAAATGACAGAAACTTACAATATTTTATTGCTCTGCATTTAATAGTACTTACATTTACAAGCTGTCAGTTTGAAATACTGAATAACTCATAGTTTAGAACATGAAACATCAGTTTGGATTGTGCTTGAAGTTCATTGCTTCCTACTTAAAATCTTTCTCGGATACTCAAAACAGCCTTTCAATCTATGCACTTTCATTACCTCTCTTAATTCAGTTTTGGCCTCAAAAATATATTGACTTTGCAGAAAAGTCAGGGAAAGACATGTCTCCTGTTGCCATTCTTAAAAAGGGAAAAAAAAACAAACAAACAACAGGCATAATTAAAAGCTCCTTTCCTGGTTGTTTAATGTGCTAATATGAGAACATTAAGGCCAATGTAGCATCTACTGCTTGCTTGCCTCAGCTGTCTGGATTCTTTTCTTAATTTACACACTCAATTATGTAGACTCTTAAATCCCCAGCATTGGTGGGTGGTAAGGTAGATGGTTAATGAAGAAACATTGAGTAGGAAACTCCTTTAATGCCTGTTTTATATGTATCTTGGGTAACATTTTTAGAAGAAAAAAGATCAAAGGTTATAACTCTAAGAAACTCTCAAGATGGGAATAAATGTACATGGTTTTAAGGCACCCCTAAAAATTATGAGAAGGCTAATATCCCCCTATTCCGTGGTCTGTTCTGAAACAAAAATATTAAGCCAAGTGTTTGGCTCTGTATAATAAAAACAGATTATCTAATGGTTTCCAGTGAGAAATATGAGAAAGACCATTCATAAAGGCTCCATAATAGTTATGAATTATAAAGACTTCCTCGTTTTCAGTATAAACTGAGACCCCAACAGAAACTGTTAGATATTTATTCACATGCCCTCAAAGGGACTGCACGTGGACATTTTTAATTAACATTATTTGCAACACCTTACTCAAGTTGTTCATTATTAATTTGACATGTTTTGAAGTCCTGACCAGAATGTTTTCATCACTTACTCTAATTACAGCATTCTTATATGACTTTAATAGTTTTACAAGGATACAGTGATTTGCAATCTGTACTTATTTTAATTAAAAAAGAAAACTGTGCTTAAGTAATCTAGGTCTTAACATACAAAAAAATAAAAAAATAAAAATCAGGAAATGTTAAATAAACTTTGGATCATTCTCTCTAACAGGCTACTAGGCCTTCACTAAGGAAAAAAAAAAATAAAATAGATAATTTAAAAGTAAAGACATGGTTTGGCAGTCCTTTTGCATTTCCAGATATATCTTTGTTGTCCCCATTTTGCCTTTCCGTTTCCAGCTCCCCAGAATGATTCTATGTTTAGTGGTGGGTATAAAACAGGTATGATCACCCTCAGTTCACCTTCATCTGTCCTCACTGTCCAGATGTCTGTGCCAGTTCAGATGATTAAGCAGGGTGAAATTTGCCTCATTTGAATTATTTTCCTTAGCTTTTCTCTTTCATGCAGGCTTACATCGTGAAGCCATTCACCAAAACTGCATGTTGAGTATGTAGAGATCTACTTGAGGTTACAGTTGTGGTAGCAAAGGCAGAAAATATGCAGGAAACTATTTACATGACCTTCATGTTTATGTCTCCAGTGGATTAATAAACTCTACTAGTTTCTTCCTAGAAAGTAGTAAACATGACTAGAAGAAAAATGTCACTGGAGACACCTGAAAGATCAGCAAAGCCTGAACTGAACTGTGATAGATAGAGGAAAACCTGCTCATCCTTCAAGAAGACCAAACAGCCTCAATTATGCTTTGCTCTTTAGCTAGAAGCTAGAATATTAAAATTGAGTGTGTTAAATAAAACGGCCACTTGTCACCTCCCTTTGAGAGCGTGACTGCAGACTCAACTGCACCTTTTTCCTTGCAAATTACAGCTATTAATTTAAATTTTGTGACAGAGGCTCTGGTTTTGTAAATAATAGCTGAAAGTCTACAACACAAGATGGCAGTGTCAGACACCGCGTACCAAACCAGCAGGGATTACAGACTGGTTCAGCTGGATCTCTTGGGAAGTGGGACAGAAGGAAGCAGTACTGAGGACTTCGTGCTTTCCTTGATACTCCTGTGGAAATCTTGCTTGGAAACTAAGAGTTCCCACTCTGTGTTTCCACAGTAGTCAGAAAAATACCCTGCAGAAGGAATAAAGAAACAGTACTCTCTGCAAAACAGGTCTTGCTTCCTTGCAGATTTCAGATGTCCAGGTTTAAGACAGTGTGTTAAGACATGAAAACATAGATATCTCACAGAGGTATCAAGGAACTTACCCTTGGTCGCTAGAACATTTTTTTTTTCTTTCTCTTGGGGTTATTCTAGCAGAGAATAGAGGTTTAGGGTGGGTGGGTTGTTTGTTTGTTCTTGTTTAGGTTGGTTGGGGTTTTTTTCAAGTTCATATACCACCCCTCTCTGTAGCTGGCTACAGTGACACATAATTTTTGTCGAAGACATACAGGAAAATTGATTAGTTCTTAAATGTCATGGGTTTGTCTTGTTGCTTGTTTTAAGAACCTCCTACAATTAATGAGGGTGAGAATGGGAAGGTTGGAGTGGAAAAGCTGTGAACATGATCTAAAACATGGCAAAAACCCCAGATCAGACCTGAAAGAAAGGGAGCTGTCTGAAATACAGAAACCTGCAGCATCTCTGTGGGAAAATAAACTTTAAAGACCCTCTAATCACACCAGTATGTCCAAACCCATGAAGGTCATTAACAATTATAGTTCTGCTGAGTTTAGGAGCTTTGTAGTGGGGTGTCCTTGATGACTTCTCTAGGACTCATACTGAGCACCTGAGGCCCTGTCCTGCTCCCACTGCGGGACATAGAGCTGTTCCTTTGCATGATGCAGTTCTCAACCCTCCCAACCTTCCAGTTGCAAACCAAGCAAAACTTTCACTTGATCGAGGATGCTCAGGTCATCAGGTCGACCACTTGATCCTTCCAGCTGGAGATATTCTATCATTCAATTACTTCTCCCATTGACCAAAACCAAGCAGATGCACTGGGGGCAAGGGGAAGGATGAGAAGGTATCTGAGGACCCCATTAGTGCAGACACAGGTGGTGAGCCCAGTGGTACTCGAGGCCCTGTAGAAATAGGGACTGGCGGGATAAGGCAACCAGGGAGGGGAGTGGCAAAGAGACGGGGCTAGAGACCCATATGCTGGGGTGGATATAGTGAAGGGACCCTGCTCCCAAACGTTCTGTCCACCTCGTTGCCTTCCTCTGTGGTGTGTCTGGGGCCGCCTGAGGACCTCAGCATTTCAGACCAGCTTTGCTCCCCCAGGCGAGAAGCTCTGGCTCCTGGTTGCCAGTCGCTGCTAGCTAACTCGCAGCGTCCTAATTTGTAACATGTAGTGGGGTTGTTGTTATTTCCACGGTCTTGACCTCGAAACCGAGAACTGAGAAAGTATTTTGTTTAGTTCTCGGGGAAACTGTAATTACACCTTAGACATGCCGTGGAAATAAACCTCCTAATCAAAATACTTCGCCGGGAACCGAGAAACGTCAGACAGGCGATCCCTCTGGTCCGTATTTTAAAGCATATTAGTGGAGAAAACCTGCCGCTTTCTTCTTTAAAAAGACAGAGGGAACCGCATTTCCTCACCCACAGCTGTCCCAGGCAGGCCTGGGTGCCTTCGCTGCTTGCAGGGCCGTCTCGCCGCGGTCACGGAGGGGTGAGCAGCTCACCCGTGGGGCGGAGGCAGCAGCGCACCCGTGGGGCGGAACGCGGGGCCGGCAGCGTTCAGCACTGTCCGGCCGATGACAGTTCCCCGAGCGGCGGGAGGGCGGCCCGACCCCTGCACACCCCCGCAGTCCCCTCCCGGCCGCTTCGCCTCGGGGGGCCTCTTGCCCTGCCGCCACTTCGCGGGTGCCTAGAGAAGAAACAGCAGAAGAATTGTCAAAAGGGTATTAAACCGGAGCCGTCGTGTTTGGTGTGTTCTAAGCTTTTGGCATGAAGGGAAGCGATTTTCAAGACGGCGGTGAAGGGCAGGGTGCGGGAAGGGGCGAGTTCACGAGTGGGTTGGTTAGGAGAGCCGCTCAGGGGACACAAGGAGATGAGAGCACTGAGGAGCTCCAGGTAATGCCGCAGCACGCTCGGGCCTGTGGCCTTTACACCTATGATCGCCAGCCTTCGAACAGATCTGCCTGTTCCATAGAAATAACCCGTGTCTTCGCTTCTGTGACCCTGTCTGTGCTTCTGTCTCTCTAATTAGGCCTCGGGCTGCGTCGGTGAGCGTTGCACTGCGAGAGAAAGCAGCACAGCGTCCGGGTCGGACCGTGTTTGCTCCCTCTCTACCTTACTTGCAGCTGTGACTGTGATATTCACAGTCAGTTGTGTCTGCCGAAGGAAGTTCTTCTTGCGGCTCTTTAAACCTTAGTGCGGCAGAAGTATTTACGGCTTAAAAAGCAAGCGATGATGCCTGCCGATCTGTAGAAACGCGGGGTTTCTCGCCTTGCAGAACCTGGCACGAACGTTGTGCCTTGGATACCGTGTTGTGGCATTTGCGGCGCTTATCCGTCATGCGTGACTCTAAACCAAACGCCCGCCTCTGCCCGTTCGTTTGTTAAAAAAAAAAAA